TTTATCATCTTAAATAATCTTAATGTCCCTGTTTTGGCAGTGACCATTTTCAGTTGTTTCTCTCTGCCATATGTTTGGAAGGGGGGAAAGAAAGCAATCTGGGAAAGATGTGTCTGGTTGGAGGGAAGAGGTGGGTTGAGGGAGAGAGCTGGAAGGAAATTCCATGTTAGGAAACCATTAGCAAAGGGTGACTTCTAATGTTTTCCTGCCACTGACGTTGACAGTGACACAGATGCGTGGGTTGAAACAGGAACGTCACTGAGTTTTTAAACTCAACCAGGAAATAAGTCTGTTGCTGAGGGATGAAAAACAAATACTATGTATCGTAAAGCAGGTGATAGGCAGTTAACAGCTCCTCTCTCCAGTGAGTGAAAAGCTATTTGATGTTTACAGCTGAGCAGCCCAAAGCAAAAATTGTTCTTTTCTGTGTGGGTTTCTGATTACAATAAATACATAAATATTCTTTCAACTAATAATTCCAACTCAGAAGGGCAAATATTTGTAAGACTCCGCTTTTAGATCCTAGAAACAGGGTAATTTCTTTTAGACTTTGAAGAGTGAAGGTAGCTATCAGTGTTTTTTTGGAAGAGTTACTACTGGCAGCAGTTAAAATATTACTCTTCCTGTGACTTGGAGTACAGATATTAGGTGCCTTGTAAATACACTCTATTGGGTATTTTGTAGTGAGTTGTTCTTAAGTAGTCACAATGAAATATTCATATTTATATTGAAGCACCTATAGATTGCATTTCTGGTTAGAGACCCATTGTGCAAAGCACCATCTAAACATGCAGGAAGATATAGTTACTGCCATAGAGAGTTGTTAATCAAAGATCTCAATCCTGCAATCAGACCTCTGCAGGAACCAGGGTTAGCCCACAGGGATCTAATTACAGAATTGGGACTAAACTAGAAACTAGCTGCAATGAGTGTAATGAACAATAGAAAGGAGAGGTGAAGGACACTGGGAACAGTAATAAGAAAGCTAAACAATGGATAACTTAAGGATGCCCAATCATTTGATCGATAAATGTCTCATGTTCCGTGCTGTTCACCTACACGTTACTTTAAAAGAACTTGTTTTAAAAGTTAAATAGCTGCAGAAGGATCACTTAAATCTGGCAAGGGTGGGATAATTAGATTTAGGCAAACTTAGGGGAGGGGGAATAATGGTGGGAAAATGGTAGGAAGCTGGGCTAGAGCTTTTAAATATGAAGGAAACAGAAAATCCCAAAGTTTTCACTGTTCCTGTCTGCTGGCCATTTGTGAGTTGTCAGCAATGTGATACCTTTAGATCAGTGTTTCTCAAAATGGTCCACGGATCCACTCTGAGAAACCTGCTACCTGGCTGCTCAGGTTTCTTTATTTACCAGCTCCGCAGCCACAGAGCCTCAAGGCTCCCATTGGCTCCGGTTCGCCGTTTGCTGTAAACGGCGAACTGAAATTAAACAAACCTGAGCGGCCAGTTACCAGGTTTCTCAGAGTGGATCCATGGACCGCTTTGAGAAACACCGCTTTAGATGAAGGTTCTGGTAAGTTACGATTCCTTAGTAATTGATATTTTCAGATAAAGATAGCAAAATCAATTGAGGGCACATTTCCAAAAAATCCTCTTTATATCTGACAGATTTGCCGCTCACTTATTTAAGGAATGATTAACATTGTACACTGCTAATTTTCACCCTCTATAGGGAGAGCAGTATTTTAACTCATTAGTAAGGCTTTCTGTCTGCCCAACGCTGACTTGCCATTTAGAAAAATGTATTTCAAACCGAAGGAAGCAGAAGATACGCCAAAGTCTTGCATTAAAATGTTATATATCAA